TGGCAGCATTGATGGGCTCAAGTGTGGCAACAGTAGTGAGGTTGGCCCAGGATTAGGCAGTATTTCGTTCTGTTGTGCATAAGGTCGCTATGAACGGTACTGACTCGATGGCCCCTAAAAACTAACAACAACAAGAGATGCCCAAACTTTCCTATTTATTGTTGTTATTAATATATGTCCTTGAATCAGGTCCGATGCATAGTGACCCTATGTACAACAGAATGAAACACCACCCAGTCCCACACCATCCTTACAATCTTTGCTCTGTTTAAGCCCATTGTTGCAACCACTGTGTATCAATCCATCTACCCTAAATCTTACCCACTTCTCTGGTTTGCCTGTTAGAAGTAAACACACAGAAACACTTGGCAAACACTGAACCAGAATGTATACCTTCAGTTCTGTTGCAACTTGATAGGGATGAAATTGCTTGAATTACTGATTTTGAACATCCCTAGTAATTCAATTTTTGAAATATATTGGTTTAATGATTATTAAGATGCCCCATCTCACTGGTTCTCAAGGAAATGGCAAATCAAGACACTATAACAAGGAAACATGACCCACCCAACCTAGAAGACTAGAAAAGATGAAGAAGTCTGATGATATCAAGTAATGGTGAGAAAGCATAGACACAGGAATTCTCACCTACTGTCAGTTCAAGTGTATATTGGCATGGCCACTTTGCAGTATCTAGTCAAGTTAAACAGATGCCTACCTCCACTCCTAGGTACACATCCTAGAGAAACTCTGGCACATGTTCATATGAAGACATAAATAAGGATGTTGACTAAAACATTGGAAGTATGGAAAACCACAAACAACACGTCATGGATTGAACTGTGCCCCGTCAACTTGGCTGGGCAAGTTGATTCTCAGTGGCTTGGCAGTTATGTAATGATGTGATATGGTAGTTATGTGATGATGCCATTAGCTCCCATGATGTGATCTGCTGTGGTCAGCCAATCAGTTGTGAGATGATTAGGGTGGAGTGCAATATTCCTATTCAGGTCACACACTTTCCCCGGATGTAACTGTTTCTCCTTTCATCTGACAGGAGAGAAGAGGAGGAGTCTCGACCAAGATGGCAGACCATTTACAACAAAGATAAGGGAGACCAAACAAAACACACATGGAAGACAATCCTGAAACTCTGAACTTCAGAAGGAAGGTTGGAGAATTGGCTCGAATGCTTACTGGGATGAGTGGCTAAGTGGGGGCAGTGAAGATGGGAGACAGACTAGTGAAGGTGGGAAACAGACTGGTGAAGGGGCTTCTCGTCAGATGTGGCAGGAGCTTTGCCTGCAGCTTTGGAGATAGCTTCTGCGATAGCACAGGTTCATGTCAGGGACTGACAATGGGAAAAGTGTGCTTCTTTCTCGTTCCCCATGCTCCCCTGGTGACTGGAATAATGGCTACCCCCCACTCTCATCCACCACCAGTGCAGCTCTCTGCTGTCTGGAAGTTCACAGCCCAGAGGTTATAGGCCACACCAGAGAGAGATGGGTGTGGACTGTGCCCTCCTGATGCCTGCACGTGAGCAGGCTCCTCTTCTGATATATAGAACCCACAGAGCCAGATCAGTCTTGAACTGGCAGGAGCCTCCGTGGCCACCAGGTGACCCTTTGGTCCATTTAGGACTAGGAACGCTATCTCATCCCTCCCTTAACCACCTCCTAAGCTCCTTGATTAACAGGAGACCCCAGAGTTTTCTTCTCTCTTGATCCAGTGCCTGCACTAGGTTTTTTCCTCCTCTCATTGTTTTTCTTTGTTTATTCTTTTTTCTCCATCTTCCTCTCTCTCCATTTGCTTTCTTTTTATTTTTTCTACCTCTGCTTTTATTTTTCCTTTTCTTCTGTTTCTCTTATTCCACCTCTTCCTCTTTCTATTCTTTCTCTCGACCTTTCTTTACTACGCTCTAGTCTCTCTCTTTTTTCATCTTCCTGCTCCCTCTTATTTTTTTCTCTTCTATAACTCTATTTTACGGTCCCTTTTTTCTCTTCTTAGATATATTCTTTTCTTCATGTTTCTGTTTCTCTCCTTTATTATTCTCTTTTTTACTACTGTTTGATTGTTTGCTTTATTATATTGTCTTATGTGTGTACATTTTCTCTTCTTGCCTCACCCAAAAGGAGACAGAAACCATGCCCACACAGCCCTCTGCAGCTCCACCTACTAGGCAAAAGCCAATACCAGCTTCTACACCAAATGATCAGCAACTAACACCAGCCAAACTCACCCTGTACTGAGATGCATCAGCAGCAAATGGAGAACTGGGCACATGTATTCATTCTCTAATTACACCCACCAGGAGGCAGTGGATAACATACACTCACAATTAAATACAAACACAGTGAGGAGTAAGGTGCACCTGATCCAAGCCATGGCATTTTCAATAACCTCATATGCATGTGAAAGCTGGACAGTGAATAAGGAAGACTGTAGAAGAATTGATGCTTTTGAGTTATGGTGTTGGAG